TCAAACACTCTTCAATCATATAATAAATGACAGCAAAATAAGAATCAACAGCCATGGCCACAACCCATACACTCAGTTCTGCTGCTCAACCCACAAAAGCATTTTCCTTGTGGCAGCAGTTAAGGAGAAATAAACAGGCTTTCCAAGAGTATAACATTTATTGGCACAGATCATTGTTACAACAAAAAAAAAAAATCAAACAAATGTACTTTTTGTGCCAAGTTTATATGAAACCATACCATAGTGGTTCACAGCCAAGAATGAAAGATGAGGATGAAAATTAGCACCTCCAAGTCTGAGGCCATGGTTCTCAGCCAGAAAAGGGTGGAGTGCCCACTCCAGGTCACAGACAAGTTGCTAGGTTACTGATATTGTTACACTACTGATATTATTACTCCTGCTCTGCCTGCAGCCCCTAATTCTTCAAATGAAGATTGTGGAAAAAAAACATAAACATAAAGGTAAAAAACACTAACATAAAGGTAAATAGTGAAGGAGGAGCCAAGATGCTAATTTTCAAATGTTTATTTCATGCTAGCGTTGAAATCATGGTTCAGACTGAGGGAATAATTTCAGGGAGAGCCAAGGCCAACATAACAAACAAAACATTCCTGATATGAAAATAAAAGAAATTGACCTAACTCCAAAGAAAACAATAAAAAAAAAAGAAAAAAAACTATACAACCTATAACCATAACCTACCTAACAACACATAAACAGGAGAAAACAGGGTGTCAAAATAAAAGGCAGCTCTCCCCTACAGGCAGTCTGAAAATGAAAACATAAAAATGCAGATACAAGTCACAAAGGCATGCAATCAAAATGGCCAGAGGGCCCAAAAACACAGTTCCACAGGTCTTAAGTAGCTCTCTGCTGATTGACAATTAGCTGGATATCTGTGAGTAGCATCCAATCAGGACAGAGGAGATGGAGCCAAGACATAACATAAGGAGTTAGTTGAAAGAAGAAAACCAACATCCTCCTGGGGGATGTAACAAGTTTTAAGACCAAATGGTGGAGAGTCCCAGATATTTAAACCTTAGTGGGAGTTACCCCTTAATAGGGTCTTTGACCCACTATTAAAATCATGTGTTTCATCACATGAACCAAGATGTCAAAAAGGGGTGTGGGTCATTATTAGCAGAGGTTTCGGGTGAAACCATTGTGAGTCCTTGCCTCAACCTATCATGTGACCTTTTGAGGTCACCTGACGCAAGATGTGAGTGGGGGTTAAAGAACCTGAGAAGGGATCTCAAAACAACATTGTAACTGACTGACAGCTGATGTCGTATGGCACCTCCTCTGTTCAAGTATGGTCGATCACAGTGGACATAGATGGCTTCTGTCAGTCCTCTTTCAAACCATCTTCCTTCTCTGTCCAAAATGTTAACATTGGCATTCTTGAAAGAGTGACCATTATCCTTTAGATGCAGTTGTACAGCTGAGTCTTCTCCTGTCGAGGTGGCTCTTCTATGTTGTGCCATGCATTTATAGAGTGGATGTTTGGTTTCTCCAAATGTAGAGGTGTGAGCACTTCTCGCTCCACTGCACAAATGAATTTTTGTGCCACTGTCTGTACCCAGGGGATGCTATACTTTGCATATATGAACTTCCAAAGATCCACAAAGGATTAGTTCCACTCAACCCCATTGTTAGCAGTATAAACAGCCACCTACAACGTTTCCAAGTACCTCGCCACCATTCTAGCTCCCCATGTGGGGAATATACCTCAGCACATCAAAAACTCTACTGACTGATGAATCGTCATGTGAGCTTGTGAAACGTAATTGCCTTCCACATTGCGTCTTTGAGGTAGTGCTAAATGAAAATAAAGCAAATTGAATCTTCTCTGAAGGATGACTGGTCTTTAGAAATAGGATTTTCCCCCAGATGAGCTAGAGGAGGAGGAAGTGACTGGGACGCGGGAGGTCTAGGCATCTGGGATGTTGAGGTTGTTGATCCAACAACCCAGATGTGAAGAAGTGGCAGAAAATGGATGGATAGATGCAGTGAGTGCAGAATTTCTATTTCTAATGGATTTCCACACTGTGAAAATATATACGTATCATATATTCAAGTAAAATACCTCATAGTACACTTTTGTCACACCGTATGTTTAATTGCATCATTATTTTTATTCAGTTCATGCTGTTATGACCAACATTACCACAAACAAAACAACATTCCTGACAAATAATTCTTTCACAAAAGCTCATGTACAAGTAAGAATGTATTGTAGACTACATGTTGCTAAATAAACACACAATATTCTTTTTATGTTATTTGCTGTATGTATTATGTGATTGTAGAGTAATTGAGAAACAATAATTATTATAATCTAGTGCATTTTGTAGAGTACAGACCCATGATCTACATCACTTGAAGTTCTTCAGAGGCCTGGTAATGAACTAATCATTTGATTCAGGTGTGTTGACCTAGGGTGACTCAGCCCTCGAGGCCTGGAGGATTTAAAAGATAAAATGAAATCTGACGGATGGATAGCGATAGGAAGGTTGTTCCACAGATTCGGTGCAACCAGGGCAAAAGCACGGTCACCCCTAGATTTAAGTCTAGAGCTAGGCTGAGCCAGGAGTAATTGGGCTGAAGACCTGATGGCTAAGAAGATCGGCAAGATAACGAGGGGCTAAATTATTTATAATTTTAAAGGTGAGCAACAATATTTTAAATTCAATGCGATATTTTATGGGTAACCAATGCAAATCAATAAGAACAGGGGTGATAGAGGCATGCTTTCTAGTGCCAGTCAGGAGGCGAGCCGCAGCATTCTGGACAAGCTGAAGTCTGTGAAGGAGAGCAGATTGAAGACCAAAGTAGAGAGAATTACAGTAATCCAATCTAGAAGTCACAAAAGCATGAATGAGCTTTACAAGATCTTTATGAGGGACATAGTGCTTAGCCTTAGCAATAAGGCGCAATATCCTATGTTTGGGCTGCTTTGTTAATCAAACTCTATACGTGTGCCATTGATGTTAACAGAAGTGGTCCTTAAAGCCTCAGACATCTGTAAATATGTAAATTATTTTTATTATTATTTATAACCTTGATTCTGAATTGTGTACTAAATTAGAAAAAAATTAATCACCTTCCAGGGATAGATTTTGCTTCCAGATCCCCACTTAAAGGCAGTTGAACTGCATTCCAGCAGGTTTAAAGAAACAGCACAAAGCCAGCAGAATAAAATGTGAAGCCATAATGCCGATAAGCAGGAGACAGAACCCAGAACGCGTCAATGTGCTTATATATCAGCGCATCATGGGCGATGGTTTTATGAAAATTCACCTGTAAATCATATGTCCTCCTTCTCCTGACCGCCCACCCTGACACATTCGGAAGAGCAAGTCATAAACAAAACCAAAAATGTACATATAGATACGGATATGAAAGTTTTAAAATTATTATATGAAACATTTTCAATCATCTTGGAACATTTTAAAATTCAGATTATTATATGTGAAAATTCCATAACACACTTTTATTTAATGACCTCAACAGTTTTCATGTAGTTAAACTATTGCATTTTATCAACATGTAACTAGAAGTAAAGGTGGACTTTGCATATTTCGTGTGTGTGTGTGTGTGTGTGTGTGTGTGTGTGTGTGCGCGCGCGCCGTGTTGGTGGTATTCATCTTTCCGGAGAATTTTCCAGACATTTGTTTGTGGTTTAAAATTTGTTTCTCTTTGGCATCCATCATCACATAAGCACTTATGCCTTCCCACCTGCTTACTGAGATCAAAACCTTACCTGTTGATGTTGTTTTTGCTTTTGCTAACTTTAGCCATTTTTGTGGAAATTTATACTTATTTTTTTTCTGTTGTTGATGCCATTTTTAACCAAAGAAATGCATTAATAACTGGTCGCGCTAATATGGGTGATGTTGATAATAACCATTATATTAAGATCTTTTTTCATACATATCACTTTACCTCCCTATTGGCTTCAGATGTTGTTTTGTTTTGTTTTTTGTTTTGCATGCAATGTTGCTCATCCACAAAAGGCAACCCACATAATAGCCCCCACTATAGCTGCAGAATCCTGCAGTGGACATACAACTCAGCCTTCAGTTTAAAAAGTTTTAGCTCATTTTTTTAGGTTTAGAAAAAAATGTATATAATATATTTGAATTATAAACTCACGCCATGATTTCATTTTTGATGTGCCATGATTTCCCAGACTACCTCAGTACAAATTAATGCGAACCACTAGTGTGTTCTCGTTTAAATGACACATTGTGCTGTACTTACGTTTGTGCTGAATGTAGACTGCAAGTTTTTTTCTTCTATATTTTAAAGTCAAATATCGCACAATGAAGTTCATACTCATACTCCATTTAATTTCACAACTTTCAAGTACAAATACAACAAAGAAAAAAAACCTGTCAGTTATACAACATGAAATCTGCTGTTAAAAGATTAAAAGCAAATTATAGTCAGTGATTCAATAAGGCTCCAATAAGGCGCACGGGATTATAAGGCGCACTGTTGATGAACGGGTCTGTTTTCACACATAGGGCACACGGGATTATAAGGCACATTAAGCGAAACAAAACAGTCAGATAAGTTAAACTTTACTCAACTCATTCTTCTTGCTTCCTCCACCTCCGTGCCATTGTTTGATTAATGATGAATGCACCTTATAGTGCGGAAAATACGGTATATGAAAATAACACAGCTCACAGTTACCTACTTTTAGCAACAACTTTGTGACTAACATTATTCCAAGCAAAACAATAATCCTGAAAAATAATAAAATTTCAACTACAAGACTGTATGTTCATTAATAAGCACAAAGCACTCTTTCTGTGTTATGTTTATACCTCACATTTTTGAGTAACTCAGAAACAATGCATCATATAATCTAATGTGATGGTACAATTTATAATATGCTAAGATATGGTGTATATATAACAATCATTGTCTGTGATGAAAGAAAATAAATGTAAGTTTTTCAGATTCTTCGATTTACTTTATGAACAGTTTGTTTATTGTCCTTCCTGTGCTTTTGGCTGTGGCTCCTCTTCTGTTTGAGTTGGTGGGACGCCCTCTAAGAAGGTACAGAAGTACTTTGGTGTGTTTAAGTCAGGCTTCCTTAACAACAAATAGCATTTTGGAAAGTAGTAGGCTGCCAACAGTCCAAAGTTGCTTGCCAGGCTGAAATAAACATGGACAACTGACCTGTTCTTGTTAGCTGAACTATTGTTTCCTATGTAGATTGGAATAAAGATCACCCAAATGACACAGTAGGTCAGGGTGGAAAAGGTGATGTCTCTGGCTAAGTTATACTGATGAAGAGGCTTCACTGCCATGAAGGTGCACATGAAGGATGCAAGGGCCATTACACCATTGAAACCCTGCATTAAGGCAAATCCAATCAAAGGTGAAACAGGACACGAGAGGAATGATTCTACAAAGTCTATTGTCATATTTGCCACATATCCAGACAATGAAGGTCCTTCTTGAACAAACCAGCCACAGAAACCAGCCTGCACAGCGCAGCAGATCAGCACAAACAGCCAGCTCACAGGGCCTCTTAACAAATGCAGGTGAGAGGCAGCCATCTCTGGGAACTCTGTCACATAGAGTATCTGTTTGAAAGGTAAGGTTACCATCTTGATTATAATGTATACTTTTTATTTTATCCTACAATATCCTTAAGTTTGGCATCAATACAAATAATTCACATTTAAAAAGCTTCTGAAATTTCTAGAGAAATTTAAACTAGAAAACCTGTCAAGCTGCAATTTACATTTATCTGTCCAAGCAGGTATGTGAGCTGATAGAGAGACCATGACAAAACAAATTGAAATCTGGAATACAGACACATTACACAAAAAAGCTGAATATATTATAACAGAGGTTCTGGGCCACCCTAACCCTAAACCTCTTGTAGACAAACAAACAAAAAAAGCTATCTGGACTCCATGGATAATTTTAGATCAATCTCCAAGCTTTCTTTTCTTTCATTTTTTTTATTTTTTATTTTTCTTTAGAAAAGCTTAATCCTAAACAAACCTAATGACATTCACTTGCTCAACACACTCTATGACTGTATCCAATATATTAAATCATGGATGTCCCACAACTTCCTTAAGCTAAATAGAGAGTAGTCATTGCTAACCATTGCACAATAAACACAGATCAGGCAAAACATTATGACTACTAACAGGTTCTGATAGAAAAGTGTCAGAATACACAGTGCTTCACAATTTTTTGCATCTGGGCCTGCAGCTGCAGATCAGTCAGGGTAAACTTGCTGAGCTCTGTCCACTGCTGAAAGCACCAACAATGGGCACATGAACTGGACCATGGAGCAATAGGAAAAGGTGGTGTGGTCTGAATAATATTTTCTTTTACATCTTGTGGATGCCCAGGACCATGTGTGTTACTTACATGGGTATCATCTGGCACCAGGATACACTATGGGAAAAAAGCAGCCCGGTGGAGACAAGGCAATGTTCTGCTGGTCCCATCATCCATGTGGATGTTACATTGACACCTAGCTAAATATTGCTGCAGACCATATACATGGAAGCAATATTCCAAGATGACTGTGGCCTCTTTCAGCAGGATAGCGCATACTGCCACAAAGCAAATGTGGTTCAGGAGTGGCTTGAGAAGTCTCAATCTAAGTGAGTTCGAAGGAAATGTTGCTAACATCTTGGTGCTAGATACCACTGTGGTGGAGTCCATGCCTCCTCCATGGGTTAACCCTGCTTTGGCAGTACAGTGGTCCCTCATCATAACGCAGTTCACCTCTCCTGGCCTCGCTGTTTCCCTGATTTTTTAAAATAATAAATAATAATGGATTGCATTTATTCTCTGGCAGCTGCTCTATTCCCATGTTCTGGACCTGAAAACAGGCTTTGATCTTTGTTTTCTTTCTATAATATTGGACTTATTTTTCTAGGAAGGTTTGAACTTTGAGAGTGTGAAAAGTGTGAAAAGGGTCATGCCCAGTGTTGGTCAAGTTACTTGAAAAAAGTAATCAGTAACTAATTACTGATTACTTCCCCAAAAAAGTAATCCCGTTACTTTACTGATTACTTATTTTCAAAAGTAATTGATTACTTAGTTACTTTTTAAAAACATGATTTACAACCTGAATAGGTAATAAAGTGATAGATCTTTCAGCCCAATTCTACTTTTTCTGCATAATCCATCATACAAAATGTAATCAAACGGAAAAGTCTCTTTTTAAAACTTATTTTATTAGTTTTAATCTTTTAACTTTATGCATCAAGCAAAAATGTAATTATATGCAACATTCTCTGACTGGAAGAAATTAGTTTAATATTTAAACCTATTTTCTGCACAATTTAGCACATAATTATTTTTTTTTTGTGTTTACACTCACTCTTTCAAATAGATGCAAGTAAAACACAGCAGAAAATAAATAAAGTCAAAGACTAGCGGTCCTGTTGCTCTATTTTCACCTGTAAAGCAGGAGTGCGGTAGGCGGAGGTTTACCCTGGTGCAGGTGTGCCGCAGCGGTCAGTGGAAGGATATGGCAGTTTCTCTGTGAGTTTCCCATTACGTCGTTGCGCACTCGGTGCTTGCTTGGAAGTTTCGGGGGTTTTTTCGCTGTAAAAAGAAGTTTTCTTCCCATGAACAGCAGACACTAATGTTTTTGTCACTTTTTATGGAATCAAACTCAAAGTAAGGTCAGTACTTCCACGCTTTAAACGCTGCACGCTCATACTCTCTCCTGTACTCGATATGATCCATTGTTGATCTGCACACAGCTGTTTTCATGAACGTCGCACTCGCTTACGTCACTGTCATGAGACATTCTCGCAAAAAATCATGGTTTTAGTAACGCAGCGTTCCTACGGGAAAGTAAAGGTAATCTAATTACCGTTTTTGCAATAGTAATCCCTTACTTTACTCGTTACTTGAAAAAAGTAATCGGATTACTGCCCATCTCTGGTCATGCCTGTCTGAGAAAAGTGTATTAGGTGTGTAGTGAGGGGTTTAACGGGCTTAAAACATCTGTAATAATTGTAAAAAATAAAGCTGGCTACTTCCATTTCACCTATCGCAGATTATTTGTAGAACGTAACTCCCGCGATAAACGAGGGACCACTGTAAAAGGAGGACCAACATGATAGTGGGCAGGTGTCCATATTGTTAAGTGATATTTTTGTAGGTTCTAAGTAATTATTAGAATAACACAATTTCTTAATACAAACAGAAACATTACACACTTTTAATCTGCTTTACAATCCCAGCTGGGAAATTTCAATTTTTTTTCTCTCACTAAAGCTGATTCTGTAGTTTCTCTACACTGCCATCGGGAGGCGGCATTTCACCAGTCTTAACTCACCTGTAGTGAGAATAAAAGGATAATGGAGAGGGTGAGCGTCTGGAAAATGGAGGTGAAAGGCAGCTGAAGACGACACACCACATCCCCTGGCGCCCCCAGGAAAAGCAGCAGACTGAGACATGCTCCCATCAGGCCGAACACAGCCACAAAACTGAAGGGACCCCCCGAGGCCGTTACCAGGGGGGTTCCTCGGTGCATCAGGAACATGACACCCACTGACCCCTGACATATCAGCAGGAGCGTACCAACTAGCATCATTATCACAGCATCCTGGCTGTGCCACTCATAAAACTTAAAGATGGGGTCAGTGCAGTTTGTGCTGCGATGCTGGGACCACTGACGGTCGGGACACTTAGTACACTGGGTGTCGTCTGTGAGTGAGAAAGCACAAAAATATGGATTGATTAAAAAATATGCTATTTCATAATAATCAGATTAACTCAATGCTGTATTTTATGTATGATTTACTGAATCTGTAAACATCAAATGTATGGTGTATTGCAAAGAAGCAGTTAAA